CCAGTGCAACAACATCTGATGGCATTTTGCACTTGCTCCTTGCTCTGTTTGCATTTATGTATATCATCTCTTAGATGCAGGAGGGTGGAGAAACTGCACCCTTAGAACAGAGGCTGCAGTGGGCAGTTTTGTGTGCAGTGTCACAGGGCTTCAGCTGCAGAGAGCAGAATTCGCATGAAGATGAAAGTCCATTCGAGAGACAGGGCATTGTCCAGATGTCCAGACTGAATTTAACTCAGAAGTGAAACTTCCTCTAAAGGACAACAACGAACTGATTAAAAATAATTAAAAAGAAGCCCCATTAGGAAAGGTTGAAAGAAATGGATCTGCTCAGATTAGAAAAAGATTAAAGGGAGACACTAAATGCCTACAAATACTCAAACAGGATGTTACAAACTGCACAAGGATTAATTTTCCTCATTAGTCAAAAAGACAATAGGAAATAATGGACTGCAATAGAGGTTGATTACAAAATACAAAATGACCCAATTTGTATCTGCATCTGCTGCTGAAAGTTCCCAAGACTAAGGGGTCTTTGGAAATGGGCCTAGGTGTCTGCACAAGGGAACAAGCTGCTAATGCTAGTCCATCATGCATTAAGAAGAGGCTTGAGAATAGTGAGCTCAATCTTGCTACAATGCACAGGAAATATTATGATCGGTAAAGGTGCCTGTCAACTCCAACAATTCTATGATCTGCCTGCATTTGAGACAAAGCCACCTGGCAGTTTTAGTAGGACAAAGTAAACCTTTTAAGACCGAGGCAGTTTAGGAGACGTGCTCCTATAAACGCTTAATGCTCCCTTCAGCAGAGTCAACAAGGTTGCTCTGCACTGATTTTCATCCTGTCCAATGCAGTTATTTTGCATACAAAATTTGGCTCATTGCAAGCAATTATCTTCTCTGCCACTATAGCAGCATCAAACTCTTTTTTCCCAGCATTTTTCTTTCATGTTTCAAAAGAAGCTCATCTTTTCACAAATCTTATCTGTTGAGTGAGAGAGGAGCCTGGGAAGTGTATTGATCTGTTTGATATCAAGTCCTTCTAGAGAATAAAAGTTTATTGCTTTCCTGTCCCTGTTATCTTTTTGTGAGCATGTGGATCACAGGCAGGGAAATAATACTCCATGACTGAGGAGACAAACTTCACTTAAGAGGTGAAAAGCTGAAGGAGGTATGATGGGAAACATGAAGGAGGATGCAGGAACCTGAAGGTAAAATCTGAAAAGCTAATTAAGTAGATTAGCAGTCTAGGATTAGGACACTGTGGAAGGTCATATAGCTTTCTAAATTATGAACATGCAGGTCTGACCTTGCAAAGTGTGGCAAAAGATAGACACAGGTTTTATGAAATTACTAGTTTACTTTTCAGGACATCACGCTGAAATGTGATAAGCTCCCTCCATTCCCACCGAGAGAAACTCAGAGATCTAGGTACCTCTCAGAAGCTATTTTTTAGGAAAGAGGAGGGAATAATTGAAAAGCACTTATAAAAAAAATTCAAACCAAGGGAACTGCTCCACTGGCTAAGCATTTCCAGCCAAGTAAATCAGCCCAGAGCCTTATCTGTTGTTCTGCTAAGTTTTAGGTCAGGCTCTTATTTTCAGATTTAAGGAGAGAGCAAAGAAAGCTCCTTATATCCACAGGCAGATCTTTTGAAGGTTATCACAACAAACACCAAGGCCCTGAACAGGCATTTGTAAATCCTTGTGTGGTGCACATGACTGCATGTGGACACCCAGACAGTATGAGTAAGATTTTACAAGGTAGAAGGTGAGATCCTGACATTTTGACAAAAATAGGAATTTTGCCATTGACCTCAGAAGTACCAGATTCAAACCTTGGTATCTACCTTGTTTTTCAGAAGAGCTAAGAACCTGCTTGGAATTTTGAATGTTCAGCACTTTTAGTAATCAGTCCATTAGTTTACATCATTAAGTGTAAGGAATTACTTTGGAAAATCATGACCTAAAATTTTCAGCCACAGAATTGTCTGATTTGCAGACAACTCTTTCTTATATCTTTCTTTGATCTGTACTTTCCTTTCAGGTTAAAATGGAAAATGAACTCTCAATCTGAGGATAAAATTGGAGAGAGGGGATCTTTAAATCTGAATTTCTAATTTAATTAACTGTGAAGATATATTTACTAATAGAGTAAATTTAATTTGCATGCCTCACTGCGGATGCAGGAGATCTTTTAAAGTGCTACCTACTTGAGAAGAGGATAGCTTCCTATCTCTGCTCTCTTGGGGAGCTACAACCTGCAATGAATTGTCTACCACAAGTCCACTCTTCCTTGGCTGAAAAAGGCAAATGTCAGGGAATAGAGTTATATATGACTCAGGCTTCACTAAAGAAACAGTGGCTCAAACACATGTTTTAAAAATCTATTTATACCCTACCCCAGTTACTACAATTCTTCCCTTACTCTTTACAGTTGAAATGTTGCATCTTTATAAATTCTTTACTATTTAGAAGTACTCTAAACTTAAGCTAGAATGCCCTTTGCATGGCCTACAAAACTTACTTTATAAACCACAACAGATACAGTTTCAAACATCTATGGATGAAATTGCAGTATGAGTGTTTAAAGATGGTTTCTACATATCAATATTATAGCCACAATGCTTCTCACAGGTGTGCGCTGTAGTAACTGCCCAGTCAACATTTGCCCCCAAAATACCACCGACTTCTTTGCAGAAGGAAATACCCATAGCATCTCAGATACCTACTGTATGGCAAACATTGATCATTGCTGACTTCTAGCCACTTTGCCAATAGAATGTGAAGAGGCAAAAAGTCCCAGAGAGGTAATTGCACTCTTAGGATTGTTTAGGATAGCTTAGTACTGTGTGTCTGTCATATCAGGTGTTCAGGTGTTTACAGTATGAGTCAGCCTTTTATTTCATGACCTTTAAACATAGATGGTATGTTTATTTCTTTATAAACTCAGTTTCTGCCTCCTCCATTACTAAAACTGGATCTGCACTGCTAACTCTAGGTTTTATTTTCATCTAGGAATAACTGGGAACTGATGATAACAAATACTACTTTTGTTTTAAGAAGCAAGCCTTCCCGTAAAGCCATAAAACTAAAATGTCCCTGAAAATAATGACCGTCAATCTGTACTCATTTCAAGTCTCAGTTCATCACACTGTCTTTAAAGGAAAAAAAAAGTTCAGGAAATTAGTGAAAAAGCTGGCTGAATACCAAACAAAAGCCAACTGTTAACATTCAGGCTGCTGTAGGGATGCCATAAAAAATGAGACCATCTGCAGCAGTCATGGTGGAAAATCATTTAGCAGCGTATATATGCCTTTTGGCTTCTCTCATTAGACAACTGATAGCTGAGTTCTGAACAATTCACATCCAATCATGCAAGTGATGCATGAACCCAAAAGTGTGAGGATTCACTGCGTCTTCTGTAAAATGTGCCTTTGGAGAAAATTCTGGTAACTTGTGGATAGGTTTTATGTAAACAAATGGTATACAGTGCCACAGGTGTCTTCATGTTTATTCCTGATATCATTTATTCTCTATTTGCTCTGAACTACCCATAAGTCCTCTCAATCACACAGAGAGAGATGAGCTAAGAACTGGAGGAATGTGAGGGAAATGTGAAAAAAATAGTTATATTATATATAGCCAGAGTTGAACAGCTGAGCAGTTTTGCCCAGTTCCTTTTTCAACTTAACTTCTGTTCTCCTTATTCTATTAATTTATACTCTCATTTCAACTAAAGTCAACTTTTGTGTTCTGAGACTCAGACTCTCCTTGTGTTATGATCTCTGCCCTTTATCTCAAGCTCTAGAAGAAAACTAGAGCCACAATTTTAATCAAAATGTAAGAGGATAAAAGGCAACTGTTAGCTGTTCCACATAGATACTTTATTGCAGATAAGCTAAATTTTCAAAGGAAAATCTTGAAAACTCTAACCCACTGGTCGGCAGAATGTGGCTTCAGGCTTGCGTTTAAGAGAGAAACTGATGTTGATTAACATAGTAAGCTTGCTTCAGTCCAGTGTGTCCTTTTGTGTGCTTTAGATCTTCCCGAGTTAAATTCCATTATGCACTGTAGCACAAGTGCTATTTACACTGGAATTCCTACCATCTTGGAGAACCAGGTGTCATAACGTGTCAGTCTTCCAGTGTAGTTTGTCCTGTATAGACAGGACAAAGCTGTGTTTGAATTAAATTCCTGGACCGTAACATAGCGCTGCCAAAGTTGATGGCAACAGCTGAATCCAGAAAATGTTTTGTCTGATTTACAGTAGAAGACTAAATTTGGTTTTACCTCCTATAATATAGTTGTATTGTCACTGAACTTCCTAGCACAGTAGGAATTACTGCATAGAAACTAAAGATACTGAAACTTCCAGAATTAGGGTAAAAGACAAGTTCATTTTAAATTCTGCATTTAGATAAAGATAAGGTCATGTTTGGACTAACCATACAAACCATGATCTAGATCAGTATCAGAGTTAGGAAGGGGGCAAGAATTGGTATTAGAATAAAATTCAGAATGAAGAGTAGCGCTGGCATGAAGAGAGGTTTGTGAGGCCTTTCTTAAAAGCTGTGAGTAGATCAGTGTAGTGCCTTTGTAACCTTAACGCCACAGGTGAAGCACCCAATTATCCATTTTACAAATACTTCTACATTAGTAATCTGGAGATGTATGAGATAATTCACCCCTGCAAAGAGGGTCTTTACATGACATTCTGGTCAACAAAGGTACATAGCAAATCTTCAAACCAATAAGCCATGTGCAATCTTTCAACATTTTAATACTGATGGTAAATCAACATTTACATTTGATTTAACTATGCCAGATAAAACCTCCTATATCACCCATTAATACTGAGTTAATTAAAGTTCCATGCTAGCAACCATGCTTTGACTATATAGACCAAGAAAAACAAAGATCAAGCTAAAGCAGCAAAGTCTCAACGTTGCTGGAGCACACGAGCAGGCATTTCAACTTATCATTTTCGGATACGTACCCAGTACAGTACATCTGTCCAGCCCTCCATGGTGATGCACTGAAACACCGTCAGCATTGCAAAAGCAAAATTGTCAAAGTTCGTAATGCCGTGCTTAGGTCCCTCCCAGCCTGCTTTGCACTCGGTGCCATTCTGACACTGCCGCCCATGTGCAGACTGGGGAGCACAAGGAGAGGGATCATCTTCTGCAGGTGTATCTTAAATGAGAGGAGGGGGGAAAAGGAGATGAACAGATTTAATTGCTATTCGACACACTGATGAGCAAGGGAAGGATATTTGTTTTTAACAAATGCGTTTTGCAGTGATTTTGACAGATTTTTATGAAGACACCCAAGAAATGTATTAATTTTAATTGACAGAGGGATGTTTTGTTTTGCGTCAATTTCTTTTTGTAAAAAAAATGGCCAAGCTGCCAGACTTTACAATCAAAATTGAAATGTACAATTTTTAATGTATATCCTTCTAACAGGAAGAAATAATGCCCTTCAACATAAGACAGAACATTACGTCAAGTCTATTATGTTTCCTTAGACTGAATGCTTATAACCATATTTTCATACTGCAGTCACCTGGCAGACTGGGTTAATCACAGAAAGTAACTGCAGCATCGTAGGTACTGCTGTTGTAGGAGGCTGAGCCCCTGCAGCAGATGGGATTCAGTGCTCTGGAGATAGGATGATATGATGCTGGACCACTGCTAAATTACAGCAGAGAGCCTCTGGAGCTCTGCTCTTTTGGAGGTTAGAAGCTATGTGGCGTTTATCAGTAGCCATGCGGCACTCGGAAGCTCTGTTAAGACTGTAATGCTTGATTATCCATCATTTACTCTGTACAGGTGTTCCCAGAGATCCAGGAACTCATGCAGGAAGCCTATCTAAATGCTTTGGTATGTGAAAAATGCTGCATAAAGCTTTTTTACAAGCACAAAATATCCAGCAATGAGAGCTTTTTTAATATGAGCCTAGTGATACATTTATAACAGATGCAGGTATCTGTGTGCGGGAGAGGGGGTAATGATGTTTGTTTCCTATTTTTTATTGCACAAAACATAATTTTCCAAAAGTTCTGATCATGTTTACACCAAGGCAAGCCAGAAATAGCAATATTAGAATTAGATGCTGTAACGCGTAATAATTGTGTAATAATTGTGTAATGAGTATGTAATAATAACAGTATAGAGGAAGATATATACACTTCAAAGATGTAAAAACAATTGACGAGTCATTATGGCTCTAGCGTCATTTCCAGAAAATAAAATTTGCCAACGTTATAATAGCAGAAAATACAGAACTTCTGAAACAACTTCCTCTTGAATGACATTTTCTTGGTTATGAGCAGAACTGGGTCCTAGTCACTGGCACCCAGAAGCACACAGGGAATCACTGCTGCTCAAGCTGGATAAATCAAATGATAAAGAACAGATGGTAAGACGGGTGAGTGAAAATACAATTGAAGGGACTAATTTGAAAGTTCTTTCCTGAAGGATTTGGTGTAATTCTTCCTATGAACATATCCTTGCTTTATTAGCTGCACTTCTAACCACAGTCACAGCCTGTGATTGAGAAAACAAAAAAGGGTACTGGTCCTCAATTAGATGCTCCTTTTCCCTGATACAGGTTTAAAATGAAGATGTATTTGGGGACTGAACTAATAATAGAGTTTTTAATTTCCACAATGCCAGCTCCAGTTCAGTGTGCTAGTGGTGAAATCACCACTACTTTAGTGTTGCTTGAGCCTCTGGGAGATTCGTTAAAAAACTCAGCTTGGCTTTTAGTGCTAAAGGACCACACTAAAAAGTCCACAACTGGGTTCAGCAAAAATTAACAGTTTTGCTTGTAGCCTTGACAGGCCAGCAACTGAAGTGCCTAAGAACAGAAAGCTAAACTCTCAAGTTTTAGATGTAGTCTCTCTACATCAAAGCTGATTCACATTCAAGGGGCAGAAGAGAGGAACTACCACTCTTGTGAATCCCCAAACACGTACACAGTAGGGAGCAAAGGCCACCCATTTCCAGAGCTAGAATAAATGCTTCGTTATAAGGGAAAAGCCTCTCTCAGAAAATCTTTGTGTATTACCATCTTTCCTTCTCACCTATGCATTTGGTTCGAAGGCACTTATGAACCTGCTCTCCTTGGGCACTTATCTAAAATCCAGCCTCAGGTGGCTTTCATTTGTCTTTGTCTGGTTTGAGCAAAGCATCTCCTATGCCTGCTGTTGCTGCTGCAATGCATTGCTGTCCACGCCCTGGCATGACTAAGTGACCATGATCTCTCCAACACACACAGCTTCTGCATAATGCCTCAGTGTCTTCCACTTGGACTTGGCTCGGCATGTGACTTGGCTCACATGTCCAGATTGTGGAAACTCATTCAAATGGTTTCCTTTCACTGAGAGGGATGAAGTCTGGTAGAAGAGATGAGATGAAAGACAGTAAACCAAATAGTTAACCAGGAAAAGAGATCAATGAAGGAACTGGCCTGTATAATAAAAGTGCAAAAGGATGTTTCTATTCATCCTGGAGTTTTTGTTTCTATGCAGCGGTTAGATCAGCAGCACTGAATTATTGCAGCTTCTAGCACTTCAGGATCCTAACACATGGTTGCTTCATACTAAGTGTTGCCATTTGCACTAGCACTCACAGACTGTCGTATGGCTAGGTAAGAGTTCTCCTGCCAGAACAGGAACACCTGATACTCACTTTGCACTGGTAAAAATCTTTACATAAAAGACAGAAAACCAAGGAAGTGGGCTCCATAGCATATAGCATGCCCCTTACCTATCAGTCCACCTTGCACGTGGTAGCAGGTCTTATGCATCTTCCCCATGAATAACTCCAGTCCAATGATGGCATAGATAATTATGACAAACAGCACCAGCAGGGCAATATGCAACAAGGGGACCATGGCCTTGATAATTGAATTTAAAACCACCTGGAGACCTGCAGAGAGAACAGAAGGAAGCACTTATCAGTGAGAGAACAAAAGTTAGAGAAAGCACCTGGGGGAGCTAAAGCATGGAAAAAACAAAGAACAATCAGAATTGAAGCAGGATAAGAACAACAGTGAGATGTGAAAGGGGGTAAATGCTGGGGTACCTCGGAGCTGCACTCCAAAGTGTGAGGAGGAATGGCAAACTGAAGCCATGCCCCTGCTCGGGTTTTTGGGTCCTTTCAGAGATCAGGCCAGTTCTCTGAGAGAACCTAAACTGTCGAAGGACCACCAAGCTCCTTCTGACTGAGAGTTCCTGGTCCTCTGGGGATATCCTTGCACTTTAGATCCATCTCATCCTACTTTGGTCTGAGTAAATGGAGAGTCAGAACCAGCAGTGCTGGTTTTGCACCAAGATTTAGGGATGACTGCGTAACAGAGCTTGTCCAAGTCCCCAGCAAGGGGTATGAACAAAACGTTACTACATACTTGTTAAGGCATGAGACTTAGGCATGGTATAATTCCTGTTCCTGAGCCAGCTGCATATTTCAAAAATGGCACTGGGAGAGTGACTTGTAGCCTGGCTTGCCAAGGTGATGAGCAGCTGCACCCTCAGATACAGCTGATACAAGCTGCAGAATCATGGGCCTCTCTGTGTCTCCTCCTCACTTGTAAAATCAGAATAACAGAGTTAGCTTCATAAGCCTTGCATTTATGAAGGTCTTAAAGTTATTATTGCTCGTAGCAGTGATGGCATGCTATTAATATTGGATGTACTGAGAGACCCCCTAGGACTCTATAGTCTACAAATAGCCAGATTAGGACAATTACTAGCTCATGATTTTGCAGTAACTGAGAGCCAGAAGCCATTAATGTCTCCTGCAAATGCTGTCATCTCCTCAGAGAAGTTGGTATTAGCTGTGATTTTTGAAAAATGTGATTCATGAGTTGTAAATGTCTGTTATACATCTGCCAAGAGAGTTTGTGGTAATGATTAACTTTAAAAATCTATCATCTAAGATCTTAGATTTTCATTTTTATTGCCTTTTCCCCCGTTTTCCAAATTTAAATACTTTCTAATAAGAGTGACACATTTCTTGACAAGCACTTTACTTGCAGGCAATCCACTTGTCAACTGACAGCTAAGGCTGAGACTTTGCATTTGCTCAGCAGCCATGATGGCATGCAGTAGAAACAATCAAAAGTGGCATTAGCTGTCCGGTCAATAAGATCGTTCACTGTCTGCTAGTAGTCCCAAGTAGGCTACTAGCATCCCTTTAGTCAGAGGGTTTTTTTTTTCAGGTTTCTGCAGTTGGTTCAGCTATCTGTTAATGTTCCATACTACCCTCCAAGGAGGGAGATGTCCAGCATGAAATATTCTGGCTTTCACAAGGAGTTAATGAAATGAAGGATCAAACTGACAGGATCAAAAATTATCCTATACAAGAGTGGGATGTTCTGTTAGTTCAGTTACTCTAGGTACTTACTTTCGATGGGTAATCTCACTAGGGAAGAAACTATTGCTGTGATCACATGGGGCAGCCAACTTTTTTCCCTATTCTTCCTAACTGCTCACCACCTCATTGTCTACTGATTCTACATATATACTTATAATAAACAGCAGTCCCAACCAATGTGACTCCACTACTTTAGAGCAGAAGAGAATGTGAGGTTCACTACAAAACAAAAACAATGTCACACCTTCTCCCAAATAATGTAAAACACTGAAAGAAAGTTAGTACAGATGTCAGCGAATCTGAAGAAACAGAAACTTTGTAGATTAAAATATTTGTAGCTGCAAATAAATATACACAAGAGCAAAAAAAGGCCTCCATTTCTAGTGATTTTAGGAGCCTCTTTAATCCTAAATGTAGCCAAGATTACTAGGTCAAGAGTTCTAAGACCAGGTCTTGCATTATTTGCCCTTCATTATTAACTGATTTAACTTTCATCATAGGATTTACCCAAGGATCTTGAGAGGGTATTGAGGACAGATGCAGTGATGAACAAAAAGCTCTCTCATTTTAAAACTGGGTTCATTATCAACCACAGCATTAAAGTGCTGTAGTGTAGTGCATATATTCAGAGAAGATAGTATCAGCACAAACCAACACTGCTTGTGTTAACAAAGCAGTGCTTGTAAAATCAAAGGCTTGCTCCATAAACATGAGAGGGCAAGGTGTATAGAGAGCTAAGGGGAACATGCACCATCAAGAGATTTACAGGAACTTCAGCTAGGTTAATTAGAGTAAAGCTTCTTGAGGGTAATAAACCAACTTTGAAGAGAAGAGGTATTGAATAATGTTAGCACGAATTGATGTGTGTGCTCTGCAGTACCCTACTAGGGCAGTCTGTTTTCAAATCCAGATGATTCCGCTAATTAGCAAGTAGCATATATACATTACCATTCAATTACTCAGAGATTTTCTAAAAGTCGAAAACCACTGACTATGCAGCAACTTTAGAAATGCTCTCTCTAAGAAGATATACCGAATGCTACTTCTAGAGGGTCAAGGGATGTATGCACATCACCATGCTGCTGGTACTGCTGTCAAGCTTATTGCTCCAATATACTTGCTTACCTTATTTTTACCCTACACCTTATTTTTCTCAGTTCAAACAGTCACTTGCAACATGAATAGCTGACACAGGGAATGGAATGAGGAAGCAGGCTTGGACAACCAGCAAAGTTTGTGGTGTAGCAAGGCGGGAGAACGGGGAGAGCAGAAGAATGATGAAAGCAACAGAGGGACAGCCACGGACAGGCAGAACAAACAGAGATACTCTCTTTTTAGGAATAACAAATGCTTCAAAATGCATCAAAACTATGCCCTGAAATCTGAAAAATGCAGATCAATGTTTGGACTGAATAGCAGCTCCAATAGCTGATCAGATACATTTCTGCTCAGGGTAAATCAAGGTGAATCATCGCCTTACAGGCAGTCATAAAACCTTTTTTAGCCAATAGTGACAACTTCTATACACTTTTACATGCTCTTTTCCTGTGCAGAGGAAGACAAGACAGTTGAATTTGCAAAGAAACCACTTCTCTGTTCCAGCTCATGCATGCTCCTAATCACTGCACGCTGCTGCACAAAGATATCACTCAACATGGCTCCTCCTGATACTGGGGCAGTACAGCACCCCCCACCACTTGCCTGTTGCATGCTGTAACACACCACCACACACCATTGGGATTTTCTTCCTTGTGGGGACAGAGGCCTGTGCTCCTTCCTAGCAATGAGCCAAGCAGCTAATCATCGTAATTACATTGGAACGCTTGGTGACCCGACCAGGCTCAAGAGCTAGCCTCTGGATTTCAAGCAGATGATGCTAATAACCACCTCTCCACAGCAGAGCTGATAGCGGTGTTTTTACACTGCTTTACAGAGGCGAGCAAGCAATGCCATCATTGGCCAACCATGAACACAGAGAAACACAAAGCCCTTAACTTATGTGCTGGCAAGTAAATATAGAAAGAAGTATTTTTCAAATATTTGGCATTCTAAATGTACTTATTCATTCGTGGAAGCTCCCTCCATGCACTAGACACTCTCCAGACATCTGTGAAGGCATAGCATCTGCCCTGAGGAGCTCTCTCAGGGCTGGACAAAGAGATAACTGCACAGAGGTTAGAGAAAGTGCCACAAAAGGGATTGTTTGCAGTTTTCCAGCCTGGTCTTTTCTTCTGTTAATAATTGAAGATCTTAAACAGCTCTTAGTATTTATTTTAAAAGCACTTCAGTTTACCTTTAAAAAAAACTCTTGGCTGCATTCTGTTCGCTGACATTGACTCCATAAATGTTTCAGTAAGCAAAATACGTTAATGCCATTCCCTGGGCTCACAGAATTTAGCATTTATCTACCCTGATAAAACATTTTAAATATTTATTGCAAGGGAACAACATTGCTTTTTATGCCAGGTCAAGCCCTTTACAGCCTCTACAGGACTGTGTCAACCCAAAGGTTTAGGGCACCATTGAAGAGTAGGGGGTATGGAAAGAGGGAAGGAAAAGAGCTTGTACAATGCAACATGCATCTGTCTCAAAGCTATGGGAAATACACTATGTTAGGGATGTTGCAGGTGTTTTAGAGTCATTGTTTGGCGCTGTATTTTTCTCTCAGGATGATCCTCAATCATGTGAAGGGCTGGCTGGTGTCTCCTCAGTCCAGCCAGTTACTGAAGAGCGTGCTTATCTGTAAGCATGTAAGTGTCTACACCTAAAGCAAGGGGATTACCTACATACCACATTGTGTACTTACAAGCTCTTTTGGATTTAGACCAATGCTCAGCAAGATGGCACAAAAAAAAAAGCACACCGGACCCAGCTGCTAAAATGCACTTGCCATTGTTGTTCTGTGGAACACATCCAAGGAATATAATGGTAGGCTGGTCTCCGGAAAACAAAACAAAACAAAATAAAAAACCTCACGCACCTGGGCCTTTCCAAGGACAGCACACTCCTGCAATTTCACTTGCCTTTAATTTTGGATCAAACTCGGTTAGCTGGACAGGGTCATTTCTTGTTCTAATCATTTCAATACCTAAACCTTCAGGGAAAATATTTCCTGATTCTGCTCCTTCACTGGTTTATGCAAGGCTGTCTTTTGCCTATACCGTAACACTGCTTGAACCATGAGTATGAACTGGCGCAGTCTCATATGACCTTCTAGGAGTAAGGGAGTAAGAATACAAGGGAAAGCAGAGCACTCTCGACCCGCTCCCCCGTTCCACACGCACACATACGCATGCACACACACACACAAATTTCTTAGCTAAACCAGTGCCAAGGGTGTGGGAGGTAATTATTTTTCTTCTAATACAATTCAGAAGAAAACTACTACTTTCTGCAAGTAAGGAGGAAGCAGGGGAAGAATTGTGACTCAGCACAGTGCCTTATTCAGATCATTTCTGGGAACCACTCTTAAGCAGTGGAGTTTACGCACCTTCCCCAGCCATGAGGTAGCCCTACCGAGAAAGCACTGTTACTTCTGATGCTGCACAAACAAA